CTTGTTTTTTTGTTAATTTCAATCAGTGAATGTGAAACTGTTTCATTTAAAGAGGAACATATTTGATGTTTCATTGAATTATATTTGACGTTGATTTCTTTGCTGTTGTTTTTTGTGATTCTTTTTCTTGGAAAGCTTTGATAGCTTTAATGGGGGAAACAGATGTACTGAAAATTGGTTATCAAAGGCAGAAAATTCCATGATGTGTAAGACAACAGTCGAGAATTTTACCAAAATGGTTTGTTTAAGAAAGAATTCTTAGATACTTCTAAAGTGACCCTACATTTGGGTACAAATATATAAATCACTGAAATACCTTATTACCTTATTGGGCGTCAAAGCATTAAAACCCAATTACTGTATCGTTTATACAATAAATCAAAGTATAAATTTGACTAATATGCGGTCAAAATTCCTACGCTTTTATATGTTTATAGGCAGTGGTTTTTATCCAGACATGGACAGATATAAACATGTTTGAATGGTGAAGTTTATGTGGGGTGCAAGAAAGAGCTCAGATTCTTAAAGGCCCATTAAGCTAAAACAATATGTTTTCTTTACTTCACAAAACCCTTTTATTTTGTTGTGACTCATCGACCTTAAAGCTGTGTCGTCGTTTGCTTCTTTTTCATTTTGGAATTTGGTAAAGTTCTTGTGATTTAGTATTTTGTATCACCTGAAGAAAATAGCCCTGGTTGTGTAATAATTTGTCATAAAAGTAACAAGATGTAAGCAAAATGATATTTTAACCTCCATACAAAATACTAAATTACAAATCACTATAACTGTCCTTTTTGCCTTAAAGTTAAGGACGGTTCAGCTATTTATTTTTTTGAAACTAAATAATGTATCATTTATAATGGAATGAAAAAACTATTTAACGAACTAGCTTTGAATTTTTGAACATTGATTTCGTGTTTTGTTTTGTTTTTTGTTTGTTTTTTGTTTGCAACTGTAACTAGATATTCGAACTTTTTTTGCCTAATTACGTTACCATTGTAACATTATCTGTTCAAGAAATGGAGGAAACAATTCCAATAACAAATATTTTATTGTATAAACAGGTAATTATATCATTAAGAAATTGTATATTTTCTATGACGAAGCTATTTTCACAGCGACTTACCTGCTTGTTTTTAGTTAATAAGACAATGAACCCGTTTACATGTAATTATCTTGAAAGTAAAGAAAACACTGTGATCTGTAACAAAGACATCCCCATCTTGAATACATCTGCATATGATTCTAAATTCAAAAGTTTACCATTTCATGTCTGCTTCAGCCGGTGCTAAAGGGGTGTGGGGCGTGGACGGTACTTTGCACTTGTCAGTATCGTCTATGAACAGGCTCAATCAAACCTAGCCTGCAACATTTTTAATTTTGCCGTTTTGGGCATTTTTTAGGGATTCATATTTTCGCTATTTAATTTGGTCTCTCCCATTACACCTAACCAATTCCTTCCTTGTTTTTTATTTATTTATTTTTTTGCACTCCATTCCGAGTTGTACATCTTTGGTTATCCCTTATTTGGTTATCTCGCTAATTTCATTCAGGTTTTACCATTTCTCTCTCTCGCATGTGTGTTAACTTTTCCGTGTTACCTCATGCCCCATTGCTGTGCGGTGCCCAGCTGGGTGTCGTTCATGTTGTGTCCGGTTGGTAATGTTTTTCTTTTTCTTTTTTCTTCGTATTTTTAGGCTGAATGGTTTTATTAGAGCTGGGTTCAGTAACATCTGTTGAACTTCACTTTTATACTTTTATTTTCACTAGCACTTGCCTTAAATTTGATAACAAATAACGGTGTGTCCTTAGCGGGGAGTCGGGACCATGTCCAACAATTCTTGAATTAGTAGACATTTCATCGACAACTAGACAAAGCGTCAATGTATCTAATGATAAAATTTATTTTCTCATATTAACAAATCAAACACATTCAATTTGCTTTGTTAACTCTTCAATGGTGTCATTTTGTAACAAATTTTGTATCTTTTTAACCGTTCATAAATCAATCACATTTATGTTTGGGATTTTTATTTTAAGTGCGATATGAGGAAATAATAGGGAAGGAAGTTTATTAAAATGTCTAGAATAACGTCTACCTCGCATCAGGAACTGGCCTTTATCCGCGATGAATATACATTTCAAATGAATTGGTGATAATTTCTGACCATGAATGATGATCTATCACATAATTATTCAAAATCATCAATTGAAAAAAAAATCTTGATACGCTGAAAATGTGAATGGTGTGAAATTTGATACTTAGAAAATCAAACTACTTAAAAAAAACTCTTTCACATACTTTCGACTGAAACTTTGTAAATTTAAAGTAAATACATATGTTACCAAGACCTGACTTTTCAAATACTATTTCGGAGACGATCACGTTATGAAAAATGTACATTATGTACTATAACTGTAATGGAGCATGAATTCCATTGAAGTTAATGTTTTGTCTCTTTTCTATTGGTTAAAAATCAAGCGAGAAATTCAACCTTTATCGCAGTTGCTGCTCTTAGAAACCCCGCCATGCACGAACGTAATAACTCCAATTTTCCACAATAAAGCGGCCGTACCCGATTTATCAATCATAATTAAATCTTTTATATTTTCTGTTGTTACCTATTTATTACATTATTATTTTGTCATACGGGCATAACTTTTTAATATCCGCTCTATGAAGCATTTTATTATAGAACTATATTTTCTTGCGTAGGTTTGTAATACTTAATAGGCGACAGTGACAAACAGGCCAATTTTACACACGTTTGATGACCTAGTTCTTTTTGATGTGATTCATATTTAACCAATCGATTGTTAATCGAACCAAACAACGATTCACTGCTAAGAATATTTATTAACAAGTTCCAACTTAAATACAATATTAGTAAAACTAAGTTAGTTAACTTGGTCTGACTTTGAACGATACTTTGATAAATTAAAATGCTTTACTTTAAACCTTACTTCGCTAAGTATAATTGTCAATTGACTTGTCCGTCTTTAATTATGGACAATACCATTCAATTTCTAAATCGGTCCTGAATTAATAGCGAACAATGCAGGTCATGATCAGGCGGCACGGGTGTGTCGGCTGATCATGGTCGGCACTGGTTGCAAGCGCGCAATCGATTGCCGCCAACATGCTTAAAGGGTTAAAATGTTTTTGTGGGGAAAGACCTTTCGCTAGTAGACTCTATTAAATGTTAAGTTATTAGTACTTTATTAAGTGTCGTTTTTAAGGTTGTTTTTATATTTTCTGTTATGAAAATATGTATGTTGTATTATCATTCCATATAATCTTCAAAGTCTGAAATTAATTATGTTAATGTATTGCATACGGAATGCAATTCCATGACTCTTTTGCAATAAGGGCCAACTCAGGTCTTAAATGAAAAAAGGTATACATTTATATAGGGTATATGTTCGTCCTTAAGAAATTTTAAGGGGGCCGCAAATGTCCGCCCTTTCAAAACATACCTGGGAGCAAATGTCCGCCTTCAAAAAGGGGGCAAATGTCTGTTGGGGTGGGGGGGTAACTGTCCGGAGGGCAAATGTCCTAGATTCCGTTTATAGTTCGAATTTGTTTAATGATTTTCGCCTTCAACGTGTAAATGCCACATAATGATTAGTACGAAAAACATCATTGTTCAAAAATCAACCTAGAATATTTTCATTAAACAATCTTTTTTGTTATATAAATGTTTGATTTTAAACCCTTCATTTCTAGACATCTCAAATAACAGCTGTCACCAATAATTTTGGTAATAAAGAATGTCATTCCGCCCAAATGTGTATTTACGTTGGCTTATATTCTCATTTCCAGAGTTTCATTTATTCAAAAGTGCTTTGCTACATTGGAAAGTCTGAATTCAAAGTAAATAACAGTATATGGAATTTTTTCATATGACAAACATATGTTTATATTTGCGTTACCGTAAAATTGGTGATTTCACACATTATTTAGGTATCACATCATACGAGCAAATATTTGCAGATCTCGTTCATTACGGATAACAAAACATTATTATTATGTTTGCATAGTCTTATGAGATCTTATTAGGTCTTATTGCCTTGGTTTTTGATGAAAAAAATCGGCTCTGGAAAAAGTATCTGTTTTAGTTACGGTTTGTCTTGATAAATGTTAGAATGACATTCCACTTGGCATTTTTTCTGGTATGTGTTGATGGTTTAGATAAGGAGTGAGGGTGGCGGGGAAACTTGGCGCAAGTTTGGTTATGTACACAATGCCATACACGGGCGGATAGTGTACAAGCAATATAAAATGTTTAGCAACAAGTAACATAGCCATTAATAGCCTTAAGATATCAGTTTTATCAGCGATTGAGAACCTATTGTTTTAAAATGAACTTCAATATATAAATAAATTCATGCCGTACCAGAGAAAAAACTCAAGAAAGAAAATCATTCAAAAGTAATGTGGTTGCTAGATCCTAATAAAAATACAATCATTGTTTTTTATAGTTATGCAAGCAGTAAATATGTTATTTGAATAATTGACGCCATTTATTACGTCGTATGATGTCAACATTATATTCTTACGTACTGAAGAGCTAAGTACTCCGGAAAAACAGAAATAAGTCTTAAGACCATGATATTTAAAAGATAAAAATGTTATGGAGATCTTTCTGCAATTAATTTCAGTGAAAGTTTACTTTGAAATAAAAAATAAATGTGAGAAGAAATTGTCCAATGTGCGTGCATGCTTTATTGAAGTCAAGGCGGAATGTGATCGAAACATACAAAATGAATTCAAATTAATATATAAATCAGTTAAATAAATTCAAATTTTGCTGAAACAGATATATTTTGATATTAAGTCATGTACTATAATTTCTGTTTATTTTCTTTAAAAGGATATTTGTGGTTATCATTTTGTTTCTTATGCAGGTACCACATACAAAAAAACGTATATACGATACACGTATATACAAGCCATAGTATTCATTCATAATGTAACATAATACATTTTTATATTTCAGGAACCGAAGAGATATCCAACTCAGAATCTACAAATGACGAGTCCTTTAGCAGAGTACGACGAGGGGGTTTCAGCATGCTTAGACTGGGCCGTGGTTTACAAATGCTACGACTTGGTAAAAGAGCTTTACCTATGCTGAGAATGGGTAGATCCGGTGCAGACTCTTTATCTGACGAAGATTTACAATATCTGTTCAGCTTAATGAGAAACAACAGACAGGTACCCCTGCCTCGTTATGGAAAAGACCTTGCCCTTCAGTATATGTTAATGAATGCTTTAAAAAACGCTGAATTAGGTGAATATGACGATGACATTGAATCACCTTATGGATTTGGTTACGATCTTGAATCTGCTCCCGAAAGACAAATTCGTCCAGCACCCCGCCCCGGTAAATACCGATACAGACGCTCAGCCGACAAAATGCCAACCGGAAGTGACGACAAATCATACGCCGATGATAAACAAGTTTACGACTACATTCCTGAGGCTGATGAACTATATGATGATGACCTTTCTGTGAGAGTTGCTCCCCTTATGAGATACGGTAAAGATCACGAGAATCAATACGGTTATGATAATGAAGTAGACAAAAGAGCCATGCGTATGTTACGCTTAGGAAGAGGAATGAGAATGCTTAGATTAGGAAAGCGTCCAATGGACTCCGATATGTCTGAAGAGGTTACGGAAGCTGATAAACGAGCGTTGCGACTACTCAGATTAGGAAAGCGTCCACGATTTGCTATGTTGCGCATGGGCAGAGGCGGTGATATGGATGAGGAAAAACGAGCATTAAGATTACTCAGACTGGGCAAGAAGTCCGAAACTGAAGAATCGTGATAGACTAGCAAATAAGAACTGCGTTCATTAAATTACTCTATAATTTTTACCTAAATTCATTTATTTTTTATGGTGACAAATGAAAATGATCATGTGTAAAAATGAGATAGCCATTTGGTAAACTGTGCGTACGCATTTGTGATAATACGATACAACAATAACATTTTTATTCTACAATAGAAATATATTTCACTGGAAAATTTTTCATTAAACAAACAAACACGAAACTAAACTGTTAATGTTCTTAATGCAAACTCGGGTTCTTGAGTGACGTTTACAAATGAGAGGTCAAATTGACTTTTGGGACTGAGTGGGATTTGTGAGGACTTACGAGTAGACAATTGCGTCACAAATGTACAGTCTAAATAAAAGCGGAAAATGGTAATTTCTCTAAGAAAAACTGCTGCGAAATAGTACAAATTTGTATTTGACAGTATGTTATATTTTGTTCATGTTGGTTAAATTCTTTATTCATGCAAAGTCTATATATAACTCTATTGTGTTTGATATACAATAAAAACTTGATATCACCTGATAACTAAACGTGTTTGTATACAAAATATGAAAATTGGTTAAAGGAACTCCACTGAGGTCCAAAATGCCTATAACCATAAAATATCAAAATCTAACTAATACCAAGTGAAGCACTTCAAATGAATAATTCTGCAAAGGATAACAAATGAAATTGACTCGGAACTAAATTTGAAAAATCGATTTTTTTTGTACAGTCCTTTGCAGGTTTAGAGTAAAAAGAGTTGCACGTTGCAATGTTTTGCTTTTTTTTTTTTTTTTTGGTCTTTTTGCACTATAGAAATGATCATTCTGGAAGGAATGAGCTGAAAGTGTGCACACAAATAACTGGTCAAGACTTACATCAATTGGAACAAAAATCTCGGAAAAATATTTCCAGTCCTTTCATTTCAAAATAAAAACCGTGGCAGTCCCTTTAATAAAAGTGCATCTTCAAAAGATAAAGTTATACATGTATCTAATTTTGGTAAAATGCTTTACATGTACAAGAACCGTTCTTAACATGTTAACATGTATAAGTCTACGCGATAATATAAGTATATATTAGTATGTATAGCATGAAAGTATAGTGACGTAACAGAAATACTCCAGGAAACAACGATTTGAAGAACTCAACTTCATTTTAAAATATTTCTACTATATTAGTTAAATCCTTCTCAATATTAAGTGATATACAGATTTGAAAACTTAGAAATGAGATGAACATTTCGTTTATTCAAATAACATATTTAAATCCGAAAAACAGGGGGGAAAAGGTATCAACAAATAGAGGATATTGAATGAGTGTAAGTTCAATATTGAGTTTATTGAACGAGTTGAATAAAATTATATTATTAGAGGCTCGTATAATATAATTTCATTCAACTCGTTAGGCTCGCATAATATAATTTTATTCAACTCGTTCAATAAATTCAGTATTGCACTAACACTCAATATTCTATATTTAACGTCATCGTTGAAGAAATATGTAAAAACACAGTTATATAACTCGGTCACCTCTATAAGAATAATGACTCCATGTACACTGCTTTTTTAGTTATAAAAATGTCAACAAAGATTTAAACCTTATTAAGAACAAACTGTTTTAAAGCGTTTCGGCGTCGCTTTATGTGAAAATCTATTTTATGGGTTCGCACTACGGTCCAGAATTTATTCAATCGGCTTCAAAAAAGCTGTAAACGCTTATTGACGTTATTAAAATTGCACTTGTTCAATGAAAAAAAAATAAAAAGAGGAAGAAATGCTGAACACAAAATGAAAATAAAAAGTGCAAACTAATCATATAAAACTCGACATTGTTTATTTAGCTTTTAACAATATAATTGTTTTATTTAACGAGTGCATAATCTCGCGCAGACATTCTCAAAATGAAGAGCAAAGCAAAGAAGGATCACCAATCCCGGCGCTGTTACCACTTTAAGTCTATTGTTATAACAAAAAGAAACTTGATATTTAATCGTAATTACATCATTAAGGCGTGGACATTTGTCAAGAATCGACTCAAATGATGTTATTGTCACACAGGGTGTTATAATTAAAGTTAAGGTTAATGAGCTATGTATTTAATATTGCGAATTGAATTGAAATTGGGATCTTACGAGTCCAGTTATACTTACCGAATGTAGCTATGAAAAAATGGCGGCCAAAATTGACCTTCAGTGAAGGGACATGCAACTGGGTTCGTAAATATATCGAATTCCCTACATACAATAAATGGCGGGTACACCAAATGTGTACCATATTGTTGATAAAGAGCGTTTGGGCAGACATGATTATGTTGTTCTAAGTCTTACCAACGCTCATTAATATGCATCAATTAGAAGAAGAAATATACTAATTTACGACCTTATGATGAATGTAGCTCCTTGAATTACAAAATAATTATATACTCGTAAGATGAAGAAGATTATGTTCAAGGCAGACTTTTTGATATGCAATTGTGGCTGAGGAGTTGCCGTCAAATGGCTGAGGACCATTTGTCCCTGGTGATCATAAGAGGCGACTAAAATGGGTTCAAATTACTGAAGTATATGCATCTATTAGCTCCAGCGGGTGAGGTGGTTTTAAACACGAATGTTGCTTTAAAGTTTGTAACACAGTTTGCGCCATACGACTTATATTGCGTTGGTGCGCCGAAAAACCAAAACAAACAAACATGCTTACACAACAAAGTAATTTTGCTTAAACAAATTTTAACTAATATATGGTTTATTTTAGAAATACGAGTACAATCAAAATGCACCAATCAAACAATCTAAATGTTTGTTTGTTTGGCTTACAAATGAGACGGAAAAAATTGCTATATGTGTTATATTTTTCACTTTAACAGTTATCAAACGATAGCATCTTTTTCAAATCATTCTTGAAGTCCGAGGTCACTCTGTCCCATTCTACAACAAATCCGCCACACCCCGAATACAGCACAGAGTCGGTATCTGGATTGTCCCTGTTATATAAGCCACCTGTTTGAAAAAATAAAAAATATATAACCCATTATGTGTAGCCTTCTCAGTTACAGGTGAAAATAAAAACATGACTTTTCCATTTCGAGAATCCGATGGGCGAAATTGATATCAGTATGATAACGGTTTGAAATACATGAATGTTTAAATTGATGCGATATATTTGATATGCCCCCACCCAACCCCACAAAACGCCCCCCCCCCCCCCCAAAAAAAGGAAAAGAAAAAAAAGTATAAAAGAAAAAGGGGAAAAAAAGGAAACTTATAAATTAAAATGCTTTTAATTAAGACACAATTTTATTAAATATTCACAATCAATTGATCGAAATTAAACAATTTTTTCACCAAGTTTCTATCAAGTTACGTACGTTGTTAGGGCTATTTTTAAAAAAGGGGAAAAATTGGCTATTTTGATAAGTGTTTTCCTTGTGCCTTGTAAACGTCAAGACCACTATTGATTCCAAATAAACTTAAATGTATTAACATTTGAGCCGCGTCACGATAAAACCAACATAATGCGTTTGCGACCAGCATGGATCCAGACCAGCCTGCGCTTCCGCGCAGTCTGATCAGGACCCATGCTGTTCGTTATCAGTTTCTCCACTTGTAATAGAGTTGGTAAGCGAACAGCATGGATCCTGATCAGACTGCGCGCCTGCGCAGGCTTGTCTGGATCCATGCTGGTCGCAAACCCATTATATTGGTTTTGTCGTGACGCGGCACATTTACATTATCTAAATTCCTCAACGAAACAGCACACTCATCAAGCCACTTTTAATTTGATCAGAGAAACCATGTTTCGCTCACCTATTATCAAATAAACTTTGTCTTTTGCCAAGTCCGCCCCATCACAGGATGTCCTCATACCTTCGGGCTTCAGCCGACTTGTCGCATACGCCCTTCCTACATCCGTCCCGTTCGGCGTCTGAAATGCGAACGTAATTATTGGCGTAATTTTAAAATTGTTCCTTCATATTTAAAGCGCCCTATTAAAATTGAACTTAAACAAAAATTTGACTCATTATCCCTACCTCTACCTCTCCCGAAAACTAGTTAGATGCCAACACCACCCACCCTGAAATATGCTTTTACCCCTTTTTTGGTATCCCACTTAAAAAAAATACCTGAACCGCACGTGATGTTTTTGTATTTTCTGATCGCAAGATCAGTAAATACAAAACTAACATCCACGACCTAACACAAAATTTCCTAACAGTCGTAACAACGCAAAGTAGTTCTCACTCAAAACTGCTTAAAACCCAGCAATTTAAAAGAAAGAATCATTTTTAATGTAGGCATTAAACGAATTACAGTGCATTAAAAGTTTAGATTAGTCAATAGAAATATGAGGTTACAATCACAAATTTCGCGGATGATTATCTTTTTTACCCAATGAAAAATGTTCGGCTAGTTCTGTAAAGATTAATCAATGAAAATGCTATTTTTAGCTATGTCGATTACCGAATACTCCAGAGCGTAGTACACAAATAAATCTGACTGTCGAGTAGTGGAATATATACATGTCGGACTGTTTTGGCGAGAAGATTTTCGCTAAATTATTTTCATCAGTGTTAAACAACAGGTTTATCGTGAACAAAATACCTCGAAATTAATAAGGATTACAAACACGAAATGGAAATTCTCAATTTAGAATTACAATGTATTTGTTTTTATTCAAGCTACATACGTATTACTTCACCGTGGTGCAGAGGTAGCGCGCTCGTTTAGGGTGTGAGAGGCCTAATGTTCAAATCCTAGTCGAGGCAACTTTTTTTTTTTTGAAGTGTCTTTTTTAAGGAAGTAGCCACGATATGCAAGGATAAAGTGTGGCTGTCATAAAAAATGAAAAATGATTTTTTGATGCAACTCTAGTCATGCAAAATTCCATATGTATCAATCCCAAACTGTTATAGAAAAAAAATCTAAACGCAGTCGCTGTAATGATTTAGATTGCAAAGATCAGAAAATACCACAGTGCTTTGCAGCCCTTTGATTTTTTTATTGTTTTTATTAGTATAAGCAAGACGCTTTTCTGAGGGGAATAATTTACACAGTTAAGTGTTAAGTTAAACGCATTTGTCTCCCTTCATTGTTCACTATACTTCGCATTTGCCTCTCTTAGTTTAACCGGTCTGTGTCGTTCCACATAAATACAAGTAAAATGGTTACCTGCGGGGAACATTTTTAATGATATAAAGATATTTCATTTAACTATTTTCAACATTGTTTGGGGAGTGGGGGGTAAATAAACGTTTGTATCAGGAATATAGTTGACAATAATCGATCAATATAGAAGAAGGTCTTTGGAAACTGGTGATCGTTAAAGACCGGAGAAGGCCGAACATAAAAACAATTATTTCTTTTTAAGAAAATAATTAAATATGCCTACCATTTTATGAATTATTCCGAGCAAAAAAAATTAATTTAAAAACACAAGTTTACGCAGAAAATATCTCAATTTATTATGGCAGATGCCACTACGAATATTTTAATTTTGTAGATTTTCAGTATAAACAATTTATTGTTTGTAAAATTTGAGATAGATATTATAGAAACATTGAAATTTTCAAACACATCATTCAAGTTTTTCCACCTTAAACGGTAAAATAATTATAGAAAATTAGAAATATGAAACGTAATAGTTTTTGTTCTTTATTAGGTTACATCCGGACTGATCCTAGAGGTAAATCCGTAACGTACCGGCACACGGTATTTAGCTAGGTTTTCGAAAAGGTCAATTAACCAATCATGTACGGTTTACAGATCACATGCTCCTCCATGTACCGAAAACAGGTCACGTGCTCCTCCATGCCTCAAAAGTTAAACGCGTACCAATACCCTGCGGTCTCTAGACCGCAGGGAATAACTTTGTTTAGTTAAAATCCGTGTCGAATTCACTACATTTTCCGAGTAACAATGATCTCAAAGACAGACAGACAGACACACTTAATTACATGTATACAATTTTCATTAAATTATTTGGTATGAAAAACAGTAATATACGGAAGACCGGTGGTGACATTTCAACTTCTTAAATCTTTACGAATTCATAATTTTAAATTCTTGAATTCACGTTTTCAACATACGGAATTTACGAATTCACGTTTTCAACTTCATGGATTCACGTTTTCAACTTCATGAATTCACGTTTTCAACTTCATGAATTAAAAATTTCATCTTCATGAATTTATGAAATTGAAGTGAATTCGTGAAGTTGAAAACGTGAATTTGGGAAGTTGAAATCATGAATTCACGAATCTGAAATCGTGAAGTTCAAAACGTGAATTTGCGAAGTTGAATTTGTGAAATTGAAATCATGAACTCGTGAAGTTGAAATTGTGAATTCGTTAAGTTGGAATCGTGAATTTCGTATAATTACTAAAAAACTTGAATTCACGAAGTTAAAATTGTGAATTGACGAAAATGAAATCGGGATTTCAAGAAATTGAAATGTCTCCACCGGTCTTTCGTAGTAATAATCTGTTAATATTTTTATAATTGTAACAAACCTTAAGGACACATTCCTTGTTAATTTCGTAATAAAGTCCTTTTGGTGACGAAATCACATCTGACGTTACATTAGCGAGCGCAGCTGTAAACATAGAAAGAAGGAAAATAACAGTGGCATAAATATAGTACCTAAACCCCCGGAACCTAAATACTGTATCATATTTAGTTATCTTTTATTATCAGACCCAAGCTACATGTAGTACATGTAATCCCTATAATGACCTTAAATAAGTATCAGGTCATGCGACTTAAAAATAAGGTCGACGAGCTCTAAGTTAGTTTCAATTTACAAGTTTCTGTGATATGATACTAAAATCATGCAAATATTTAGATAAATCTTTTAAAAAAGTTTTCATTATATGTATGTATCTCTACAGACACACTCCAGCGGAGAAACAAGAATATTTAGCTAGCTTAATTCTTCTTTTTTTTTTAATTCTTTTTTTTTTTAAATTCTTTCTGTTTCAGCATATTGTTCAAGAGGAATTTCGAGCATCCAATTAAAGGGGCTTTGATTTAATTAAATTAAAAAAACAATAACCACAACAACAAAAAACGCACCAAATTCAGCTGTTGCAACTCGTTCCTCCAATGTCATCCAACGTCCCGATGCCCCCATGCACGAGCATCCGTGTGCCACTTTAGCTGTTAGTGCTACAAGAAATAATGCTGCAAGAAGTTGATGTTTCGACATGTTTTCTTTCTCTTTTCTGTAATTAGAATTCAAAATAATGATGTGATTATAATAATAATAATAATAATAATAATAATGACAATAATAATAATAATAATAAAAGAAAAAAATAACAGCACTTGCGCGATTTTCAATATGTAATTGTAGGTCAAATAAAATGTGAGAAAAAAAAATAAGATAGATAGATTATATAGAAAGTTTTTTTCCCCCAATAAATACAGAACTTATTTTCATCGAATGGTATGAAAATAAATAGTTAATAAGTGGCGGTAGCAACAAGTGAAATATGATAATTTTCATATCACAAGATGAAAATAAATCCTGTATTTAAAGAAAAAACTTGAATTTTCTGTTTATTATGTACTTTTTCTCTGTTTTGACATTACAATTCTGAAGACTTATACTTTAATTTTGTGTATTGACTGAATTAAAAAGAGATTAGTCCGGCCAGACACCAGTGAAAAAATAAATTTTTACAGTGAAAATACCAAACATGAATATAAGCATCTTATTCTATCAATATTTGCAATATTTCATTTATATGTATATTGTAAACGGGGAACAGTCTTTCGGTTCGATATCACAGGACCGTTTGTGTAAATTAAACAAAAGAAATGAGAATAAAGGCAAATGTAAGTTTTATGTATTGTATTAAGTATTTAAGTCATCATATTTCATAATTATCAGACATATAAAATAAATAAGGTAGGGGAAATAAAAGAAAATCGGAAAACTTCCGAGAAATAAAAACAACGGCTTACCGCAATGGTGGTCAGAGCGCTTCTCCTGTTTATGACGTCAAACCTTCACGTCCAAGTGTTCGTTCAAGTTTGACGTCATTAAGTGACGTCATAAACGTGTTCATTAACAGAACACTTGTTAATAGCAATTAACATACAGGATGGGATAAATTGAAGTTGGCAAAAGTGCCAAATGATTCCAAATACTTATTGTTTAGTAGCGTAATAATATTGCCTAACTTTAAACAAGAAAAGTGATCGTATAGTGTTTCAAAGGTGATCGTTTAGTGTTTCAAAACTGATTGTAAAGTATCAGTACTAGCATAATGGAAATTAAGATATCAGAATTAAATAGAAGTATAGTACTTATATAAAGTAAATTTGGTAATCTATTACACATACAAATATATCAAAACAAAACAATGGAAGTGACGTGACGTCAATGAACGACGCCCGCCGTGGCGTAGTTTGCCGCCGTCTGGTGCGTTATTCTTTGGTATTAACTCCATATGGTCTATAGATTCTTAATTTAATTTTCCACAAATTTTCTATTGTTTTTCTGTATTGGTCATTCCCGTATAGCTTTTCCAACCCCATTATTGAAATATTTATAGTTATGATGTTAATAAGGACATTGGAATTCGCATTCATGACGAAGGGTTGTGTTTATTGCTTAAATAAATAAAATCTATGGACGACTCATTTTTTAGAACAAAGTTAGGTACCTGTCCAGTCAATGTTGCTTTTCTATTTTAATTATCAATTGGAATATAAGCCTGGATGTAACACCTTTCTTTATTTTTATTCAAAATCTCATAGCAGCTTTTCGGCCCTTTTTATTGTGAATATAATTCGGTTCCAGTAAGTAATGCTACTTTTATCAAAAAATTGAACTTCCCAACCTTTTCCATGTCTGTTCAAAGTATTGATTTACCTGAAATGGGGTCTTAGTTATTTGCACATGGGCATTCAAGCTAGAATTCCCCAGGTGATGTTTAATTTTAAATGTCACAAGTAAAAAAACTGTTCACCATCTATTACATATTATTTTTGTTTCTGGAAAGAAAAGGTAATTTAATAATCAGGTTTGTTTTCACGGCTACTTTCTCTTTAATCCTATGTTGAGAACACGGACAAGCACAAAGCAGCCTAAGAGCCAAGGGCAATTTAATCAAATTTTTTGTCCGAATCTGACACTTACACCAGAGTAAATATATAGTCTCTCCTACAAAAAGCCAAATCTAACAAAATTTTGCTTTCACAACGCTTCAGAATCCAAAATGGCGTCCAATATGGCCGCCAATTTTATGCAAAACGGGTATATATCTTATTATGGTAAATTTTACAGCAAAGATTATGACGTGTTTTGGTAAAAAGGTGTGCAAACATTTAAGAAATAATCAAGTTATGATTGAATAACAATGAAATTATAGCATTTCAGGTTTTTGTCTTAAAATTTTCAAAATTTCAAAGAAAAAACCCTACTTTTTGCAGACTTTTCTATGATGGTTACCTAGAAATAACAAAAAATATTCCAAGTAGCTACTTAAATTCTAATATTGATTTGTTTTTCATAAATACTGTGTGCGTTTAAGTATTTATCATAAAAAACGCAAGAAATTGCATAATTTGTAAGTTTTATACTTGGTTAAAGTGGGTGGGGTAATTTCTACCCAAAAACCGGAAAAAAAAATTTCGCCGAAATATGTAAATTTATTACATGCTTTTCGGTGGTTTATAGAAATATATCAGTGATATAAAACTGGTAATTTCACTGTTTTAAACAGTGAAATTATCAATTTGATAATTTCACTGTTTTGAATTTCAGCCCCTTACGTTGTTTCAGTGAAATACCAGCGTGCACAGTACTAGGAACCAACTTAATGACGTGACGTTGTAAATGACGTCACGTTGTATTATTATTTGGCGCGCTTTTCATTCAGCATTAGGTTTAATGTCTTTTTAAAACGTTTCTTTGCATATAATAATAAAAAAAATTGTTTAGTTTAGTGTAAGATCGAAATATACCAGTTTTTATTTCACCGATATATATCTATAAACCACCGAAAAGCATGTAATAAACTAATTTTATAAGACTGCTGCATACGTTATCCATAAAACAGTTAATAATTATGTTATACTATTGCATTTCTAAAGCAAACGGTAATTGAAACAAGCCTTCTATTTGTTCTTATTAGCATATTCTAATCCAAGTAAATTATATATCATATAAATGGTATGAAGCTAAGATGATAGCAAAACACTACAAATAATATTACACTGTACCAGACAGATTAAATTTTGAAGATAAAACATTTTATATAACTGTCACAAGCTAGAACTCTTTAAACAGATTTTCAAAATTTCAAATAAATGAATATATTAATGACACATTAAATATTTAATACTTTAAAGGGAGTCCACTGAGGTTTTTTGACATGACGGGACTGGACATATTTTTTTGAGATTATTACTCTATTTGATGTAGATCTGTGCTAATAACTTATGTGCAAAATTCCAGATCACTAGCTCGTTCCGTTTTTCCAAAATAATAATTATAATAGTGAAAAATGGCCCATAATTGAAAAGCGTTAAAACGCTTTTCACTCGAATCGGACAGAGAATAGCACAAACATACGATTTTCAATGTATTTCCTGTATGTTTCTTAGTTATATTTTATTTATATAGCCTCACAACATGCAAAAATAGGGGCTTACAAATGAGACGAGAAAAATTGGTTTATGAGTTATATTTTTCTCTTTAACAGTTATCAAAAGATAGCATCTCTTTCAAATCATTCTTTAGGTCCGAATGCACGGTGTCCCATTCTACAACAAAGCCGCCACACCCCGAGTACAGCACAGAGTCGGTATCTGGATTGGCCCTGTTATATAACCTACCTGTTTGAAAAAAAAATATAAATAACCGAACATGTAGCCTTTTCATTTACAGGTGAAAATAAAACATTTATTATATACTTATAAATGAAATATTTAGAAAAAATGATAAAATGAAAATGCGTATTTTTATGTTCCGTATTTTCACTGTAAAAAAAATATTTTTCACTGAATGAAACATATTTTCCGTATTCACTGGTGTCTTGCCGGACTACTTTCTTCTAAATTCAGCCAATACTGTATATAAAATTAAAAGGAAATTCCTATTCATAAGGTTAAAATAGAGAAAATGTTTTTAATAAACAGAAAATTCAAGTTATTTATATTAATATAGGTTTGATTTTCATCTTGTGGTATGAAAATTATCATAATTATTTCACGAGTGGCTACTGCCATTCGTGAAATATTTGTTTTCATGCCACTCGATGAAAATAAATCCTGTATTTATAGAAGAAACTTGAATATTTTCTATTTCTATCTTTCCCTAATTATTATTATTAAAGTGGATTTTTAGCTAAACATTAAAAATTTTCAAAAAAGTAATATCAAACAATGATATATATTATCTAAACACTTTTTGATATCAATAACGAGGTATTTTTTCCAGGTGAAATGTCGTCTGCTAATCTACTGTAAATTTCATCAGGCACTCCCAAAAACTAACAATGGAAAGTTCTAAACTCACAGCAGGATTATTCCATTTCGAAAATCCAATGGGCGGAATAGATATAAGTATGATAATAATGGTTTGAATAAAAGAAAAAAGAAAAAAAAGGGAAGAAAAAAAATCAAAAATAAGAAATAAAATGCTTTTGATTTAGACAAAATTCTATCAAATATTCACAATCAATAGATCGAAAGTTAACTATTTTCTCACCAAGTTTCTATCCCATAACGTGCGGAGTTAGGGCTATTTAAAAAATTGCATTTTTTTGCTATTTTGATAAGTGTTTTCCTTGTGCTTTGCAAATGTCAAGTCCACAATTGATTACTTATAAACTTTAAAAAAAAAGGTTAACTTTTTTGTTTAATTCCCCAACAAAACAGCACACTCATCTAGAGACAAGCCACTTTAAAATTGACCAAAGTGTTAACATACCGACATGCTTCGAAACAAACCATGTTTCGCTTACCTATTATCAAATAAACTTTGTCTTTTTCCAAGTCCGACCCATCACAAGATGTCCTCACACCATCGGGCCTCGGCCGGTCTGTCGCATACGCCCTTCCTACATCCGTCCCGTACGGCGTCTAAAATACGAACGTAAATATTGGCGTATTAAAATTGTTCCTTCATTTTTAAAGCGCCCTATTAAAAGAGAACTAATGCAAAAATTTGACTCATAATCCCCACCCCTACCTCTCTCGAAAACTAGTAAGATGCAACAGTCCCCGATTCCTGAAACCGCACCTGATGTTTTTTTAATGTTAAGATTTTTAAAGGGGAATAATCTGCACTGTTAGCGTATTTGTCTCCCTTCCCTGTTCATTATACTTCTCGAAATGTCTACGCATTTACCTCCCTTAGTTTTAACTTTAGACCGGTCCGTGTCGTACCAAAAACATATCACAGTTACTTCAGTTTTTATTTCGTTAAAATCCGTGTTGAATACACCACATTTCAAGAGTAACAATGATCTCAAAGATAGACACACACATTTAGCTATTTTTATTAAATTACTAAGTTATAAAAAAAAACAGTAACAGTTATATTCGAAAAACCTGTGGCGACATTTTAACTTCTTGAATTCTCGGCTTCATCTTTACCAATTTTACAATTTTAACTTCTTGAATTCACGTTTTCAACATGCGGATTCACGAATTCACGGATTCAACTTCATAAATTCACGTTTTCAACGTTATGAATCCATGAACTTGAAGTGCATTCGTGAAGTTGAAAACGTGAATTCGGGATGTTGAAAACGTGAATTCACAAAGTTAAAATTTTGAATTTCAAGACGTAAATTTGCGAAGTTGAATTGGTGAAGTTGGAATCGTGAACTCAATAAGTTGAAGTCGTGAATTCTTGAAAATCATGAATTCAGTATATTGAAAACGTGAATTCACGAAGTTAAAATTTTGAATTCACGAAGATGAAATCGGGAATTCATGAAGTTGAAATGTCTCCACCGGTCTTTCGTAGTAATAATTTGTTAATATTTTAATAATTGTAACAAACCTTAAGGACACATT